TTTAATTGACATGGAAAAGTGAATTTATATGTGCATCCCAGTGTGACACAAATCTCCACATTTTCAAATGTTCATAGGAAAAAGTGGGGTTTAATACATAGAATTTTACTTTATCCAAAAAGATGTTAGATGATAATTGCTCTTAATCTTTGAAGGTGCTAGAGGCTAACAACCACATGAAGAAGATTCCCTTTTACAGAAGAATCCTTTAATCTCGGCTATCTTTGTTGAACTGTATCGTCTTGTAGGTTTGACCAGAGATCACATCTCAATTTATAAATTAGAAAATTGAGATCCCAAAAGCTAACTCTTTCATGGTCTTAGATAGTTAAAATCTTTCTTAGTCCCATGTTCAGAGGTTTCTTTTTGATCATTAAAAAAAAAAAAAAAAATGGAAGGACCCCAAATCCCAGAAATTGCTTACCTATGAGTTGAATACTTTGCTGTGAATAATAATTGCACAGTTGTTCTTGTAATCACATTTATTCTGAATGTGTAATTTGGTTCTTTTGTTTTTCCTCTTGACTAGATTGTGATATACATTGGCTGTGCATGAATTATAAATGCAAACTTAAGGGGTGCCTGGGTGGCTCAGTGGGTTAAATTTCTGACTCTTGATTATCAGCTCAGGTCATGATCTCAGTTTGTGAGATTAACTTTACCACAGCCCAAGGAGCCTGCTTGGGACTCTCTTCCCTCTCCCTCCTCCCCGCCTTGCTCACGCATGCACTTGCTCTCTGTTTCTCTCTCTCTGTCTCTCAAAATAAATAAACATTAAAAAAGTATATATAATTTTCACATTAATTTTACTAGATAAGTACTTCACACTTATTCAAAATAAAAATACTGTGTAGCTTTAGCTTTGTTACTTTAAATATATAGCAAATGAGAGTTCTTTTATGCATTAGGGTTTGTTAATCCTTATTGGAAGTTTTAGGTTTTGGAGGAAACTAATGGCACCTGAAATGACAGTATCTGATTCTGTTTTGTGAATTTTTTCTTTTCTCTCTCTCTCTCTCTCTCTCTCTCTCTCTCTCTCTCTCTCTTTTTATGAGTTGGTTTATTTGTAAGTGTTACAGAATTCAAGGGAGAACAAAAGACTGAAGAACAGACTGGCAGGATTCTAGGTTGGGTTTGCTCTGACCTCAGAGTAAGGTAGAAATAGCTGAGTAACAAGAAATAAAGAGATGAGCCCCCACTGTATGTTGTTTCTTTTTTTCTTTTTTTTTCCAAAGTTTATTCTTGAATGTACGGAAGGCTCCAACACAACACTTCTTTCTACCTATTGGTGGCAACAGATTTTATGGCAGAGAATGCAGATGTTGTAAACAGCAGTAAGGATCACCATCTCCTGATGGAGACAGAAGAAACTGCTTACTTTTTGCTAGATTTCTCCATTCCTCCTGTGGCCATCCCCCATGGCCTTCACTTCCCCCATGGCCTTCACTTTACCTCTTCTAGCTGCTTCAGGGGCTTCTTCTTGCCACTGCCCTATCCCTAGACCCTGCCACTGGAAGCAGTGAATTAACTTTTTTTCCTTTTTTTGGATTCACTATTTTTGAAAGCAAGTAAGATGCTATTTAAAAATTTAAACAGATTTGTTGTTTACTGTTTCAAGACGGTTGTAAAAGGAGAGAGCATTATGTGAAAACTGAATTGGGAGTCACTGGGATTATATAGAGCTACATTTTTTAAAACTTTTTTTAATGTTTATTTTTTAGTTTTTTCATTTTTGAGAGAGACACAGCACAAGTGGGGGGTGGGGTGGGCAGAGAGAGAGGGAGACACAGAATCTGAAGCAGCCTCCAGGCTCTGAGCTGTCAGCACAGAACTTGACGCAGGGCTCGAACCCACAAACTGCTAGATCATGACCTGAGCCAAAGTCAGACACTTAACCGACCGAGCCACACAGGAGCTACAGAGCTACAGTCTTCCTATAGGCTCTGCTATGGTTGATAACCTGATTTTTATTTAAAAACATTATCACAGTTGTAATGATTATGGCAGCTTATTTTTGGCTGTAAAATTTTTTGTTTAAAGGAAACCTACATTGAGATTTATTTGTTAAGCAGGAATTTAAACTCATCCCAGGTGCCCTGTAGGTACACATAGATACTGTGAATTTTTTCCAGTACTTTTAAGTGTAGTAGGAAAGGATGTTTAATTATAAATATATATTTAAACAAGTAACTTTTTACTTTTTTTCTCTTTTCTGATTCTTAATGTTATAATTTTGACTGTTCTGGGGGCTATAATCATGTAAGTAATTTTTTTTTTTAAGTTTCATGTATTTTGAGAGAGAGAAGGGGAGGGGAAAGGAGGGAAGGGCAGAGAGAGAGAGAGGGAGCGAGAGAATCTCAAGCAGTCTCCACACTCATCGCAGAGCCCTACTGGGAGTTCAATCTCAAGACTGCAATATCATGACCTGAACTGGTTCAAGAGTCAAATGCTCAACTGACTGAGCCACCCAGGCACCTTGTAAGGCATTTACTTTAAGTGATTGTATTTCTGGGCACCTGGGTGTTTCAGTCAGTTAAGTGTTCAACCTTGGCTCAACCCAGGTCACCATCTAATGGTTTGTGAGTTTGAGTCCTACCTTGGGCTCTGTGCTCTCAGCGCAGAGCCTGCTTCAGATCCTCTGTCTCCCTTTCTCTCTCCCTCTCTCTCTTTCTCTCTGTCAGAAATAAACATGAAAAAAGTAAATGCTTGTGTTTCTATTTTTATTTTCTATTTGTTTTCTTTTTAATTTTTTAAGCCCCCTCCCTTGTCTTGATTGTGTTTGTTTTTCTTGATCTGGCCTTTGAGATTTGAGCTTAACAGTACTTTATCATAGTGCCTAACCATTCTGTTCCCTATGTCCTTGTTTATATTCCACGACAGATTATAAACTTTACATTATTACGTTAATTTCAGGTATATGATATACTGATTCAGTGCTTCTATACATCACCCTGTACCTGTCCCCCCACCCCTTTCCCATCTGGTAGTCATCAGTTCTCTATAATTAAGAGTCTGTTTGTTTGTTTTCTTTCCCCTTCCTCCCCGCCCCTCATTTATTTATTTATTTACTTATTAAAGTAGGCTCCATGTCTGATGTGCGGCTCAAACTCATAACCCTGAGATCAAGAGTCTCCAGCTCTACCAACCGGCACTCCCAAGAGTCTGTTTCTTGATTTGTCTCTCTTATTTTTTTCCCCTTTGCTTCTTTGTTTTGTTTCATAAATTTCACGATTGTAAACTTTTTTTTTCATTTTTAAAATTTTTATTTTTTTAATTTACATCCAAATTAGTTAGCATATAGTGCAACAGTGATTTCAGGAGTAGATTCCTTAGTGCCCCTTACCCATTTAGCCCATCGCCCCTCCAGCAACCCTCTGTTTGTTCTCCATATTTAAGAATCTCGTATGTTTTGTCCCCTTCCCTGTTCTTATATTATTTTTGCTTCCCTTCCCTTCCCTTCCCTTATGTTAATCTGTTCTGTGTCTTAAAGTCCTCATATGAGAGAAGTCATATGATATTTGTCTTTCTCTGACTTATTTGGCTTAGCATAATACCCTCTAGTTCTATCCACATAGTTCCAAATGGCAAGATTTCATTCTTTTTGATTGCCACGTAATTCTCCATTGTATATATATACACCACATCTTTATCCATTCATCCATCGATGGACATTTGGGCTCTTTCCATACTTAGGCTATTGTTGATAGTGCTGCTGTAAACATTGGGGTGCATGTGCCCCTTCAAAACAGCACACCTGTATCCCATGGATAAATTCCTAGTAGTGCAGTTGCTGGGTCGTAGGGTAGTTCTATTTTTTAATTTTTTGAGGAACCTCCATACTGTCTTCCAGAGTGGCTGCACCAGTTTGCAATCCCACCAGCAATGCAAAAGAGACCCTCTTTCTCCAAATCCTCACCAACATCTGTTGTTGCCTGAGTTGTTAATGTTAGCTGTTCTGTGGGGTGTGAGGTGGTATCTCATTGTGGTTTTGGTTTGTATTTCCCTGATGATGAGTGATGTTGAGCATTTTTCTGTGTTTTGGTTGGCCATCTGGATGTCTTTCTCGGAGAAGTGTCTATTCATGTCTTTTTCCTGTTTCTGGATTATTTGGTTTTTGGGTAGATTATAAACTTCTTTAGCCCTATCTTAATCTTGTTCATCAGGTATCCCCTTTATTAATAGCACCTGGCAATGTAGTAAATGCTTACTTAGTTAATGGAAAGAAATAACTGGGCATAGGCCAAATGTAAAACATATTATTGTCTGCTGATTTTTAAAAAAAATTTTAAATATATTTATTTATTTTTGGGAGAGCATTAGTGGGATAGGGGTGGGGGAGGGACAGGACAGAGGACCCAAAGTGGGCTCTGCACTGACAGGCTGACAGTAGGAGGCCCGATCTGGGGTTCAAACTCCCGAATTGTGAGATCATGACCTGAGCCAAAGTTGGACAGCCCAACCGACTGAGCCACCCAGGTGCCCCAGGTTATTGCTTATTTTTTATGGTAATCGTTATCATTTTGAAGGCAGTGAAATAATTCCAAGAAGAGAGAATACAAAGAAGATACAAGTCTGTAGTTTCCCATGATAAGTGTAATCTCCTGGTCCTAACTGGTGCCTTTGTCTGATTTTTAAAAATAAACCATTGGAATCCAAGGACATAGATTATAGTCCCCAAAAGGAGAAAGGTACTGTGGACAGAAAGACTTGGTTATGGTGTTCATTGTGTGAGGCAGCATAGTACTCTCTTGGGAATAAGAGAAAGAACTGTGTGACACTCCCCACCCCCACCCTCCCTGGAGGAATAGAGATGAAGGAACTGTGAATGTTGGAATTTACCAGTAGTTGTTGGGAAGTTATGATTTTGTTGTTATAAATTGCTTTTAAACAAATGCATTAATTTTCTTTATTCCTATTTGTATGGCTAAGAAAATTTCCTTCCTGAAAGTTTATGAACATGACTTTTTAATAGTTAATCATTTTTGTGTTTGCTCCCTTAGCATTTGACATTGTGCAGCAAAGAAATGGTTATGGAGAAGCCCAGTCCGCTGCTTGTAGGGCGGGAGTTTGTGAGGCAATATTATACTTTGCTGAATAAAGCTCCAGAATATTTACACAGGTAAATTCTGAATGGATTATTTGGTATTTTTATTTAGATTATTTTCTTGAGTAGAACTACATATATTTCATCTTTCCTGTCTCATGTTCTGATTGTTTCTTTGCAAACCATATCCAATATTTCAACTGCCTGATGGCTAAAACCGATTTTTTTAAAAATGAAATCTGTAGTAAGAAAAACGCTTCACATCATACACACATACACAATTATATTCTTGAGTATTTTGTATAAAATACAACATTTATATAATTTGTATAAAATGTACATGTGTATAATATGGAGTGTTTTTCTTGGGCTTGACCAACTGATGGATTCTAATCTGCAGTTTGAAATTATGGATGTAAGTTGTCTTTTTAAGTTTCTTATAGCAGTGTTAGAAAATGAATCATTTAAGTGACTGGTGAAAATTTCTTCTGATCTGCAAAATACTGTTCCTTGGTAAAACAACAACAGTAGCCTTGTTTACTATTTTGGCAAGAGTTGGACATCTGTAAGCTTATTTTTTCTAGAATTTTTCTAGAATTTGAAATGAAATTGATTTATATTGTAAGTAGTATTTATAATTTTTGTTCTTCCTGTGTATTTTAGCAGGTGGATTAGGCTTTGCAAGTATTTGTTGTACCAGCCACATGAGTTAAAGGATAAATCATTGCCACTTCATGTGGGAAAAGCTATTATAAAAGGACTTGGATTCTTTTAGCTAGGTCCTCTTCTAAGGACATTCTAAAGTTAGATTTTGAAATATGCCTTGCATTATTCAAGACCTGTTTCTATAACTAATGTCCTTCCTCAAAAAAAAAAAATCCAAAAATAAATACCTGTATATTTTTCTAATTATAGAAATAAAAGACATTTTTGTTGACAGTGTGTATAAAGGAGTTTAGAGTGGGGAGGGGAGAATGGATTTAATAGGGCCTTTCCTTGTCTGAAATTTAGTGTTTATATAACGTAGATATTAAACAGGGAACTTTTTTTGTAGCGACATTAAGGCTCTCTATCATTTCAAATAAAAGTATTTATAATTTTTTACTTTTTAACAGACTTTGGTGAGTATCCTTACACGTGTATCTTTGTGCACCTTTCTAGTTACTAAGATAAGTTCCTACACGTAGAATTGTTAAATCAAAGGTATGATCATTTCTAAGACATTTCTTACACTCTACAGCCAAATTGTGCTCCAGAAAAATGATAGAAGTTCACGTTTGCAAGAAAGTTTGCCAGAAGTTACATGTTTGCAAGAAAATAGTGTAAACTTAAAAATACAGATAGTAGTTAAAAGCATAGACTATAGAGCGGGACTGGGACTGTCTGGGTTCATTTCATGTCTTAGCTACTACCCCACTTGTGTAGTCTTCGGAGAGTTAATTTAACCTGTTGTGAACCTCAGTTTGCTCATTTACAAAAGAGCACTTATTTCATGAGGTTGTGAGGGCAATCAGAGAACTTTGTTTGGCATAGAGGAAGTCTTACATGTTTCATTAACAATAGGAGCTGAGTTCTCTTTATGAAAGAATTAACATTGTGTGTTTGATAATCTTAATTTAGAAGGATATTCTAATTGCTTTAGGTAATGCCATAGAAACACTAGTTTATCGTACTTAAGAGCAGTATAAAATATTAATGCTATAATAGATAATGAAATGTAAATTTTCTTATTTGGTCTCTGAATTGTTTGAATTATTATAACTCTAAACTGTTTTAATCTAAGCCTTTGGAATTAGTAATCATTTGGAACTTTGAGTAGAATGTTAAACAGCATCTGATTCCCAAACAAATCTAGATAACTGAGTTACTGTATTTGAAGGGAAAACTGGGTCAGTTACTTACTACAGCATCAGTATTTAGAATGTATTTTGAATATCTCATTCTTTCATTTAAGAAGATTGGATAGGAATTAGATGAGAATAGCAAACGATTGCATGTATATTCAGAGTGCCAGGAACACTAAAAATTCTGTCATTAATCACTTAATCCTTACAACAGCCTTATGGAGTAGTTAACTGTTGTTTTTGATGACCAAGAAAACTGAACTTAAGGACCGTAGGTAACTTCATCAAGATTATACAACTAATGAGGGATGGAGCCAGACATACAAGCTATGTCTCTTTTATACCAGAACTTTGCTGCCTCTTAGATTTGAATGCTAATCAATTATCACTGGCCTTATAGGTTTTATGGAAGGAATTCTTCCTATGTTCATGGTGGAGTAGATGCTAGTGGAAAGCCCCAGGAAGCTGTTTATGGCCAAAATGTAAGTATCAATTTCATACACATTTTAGATTTTTTGTGCCCATGGATGTCTTCTTGAAAGTGATCATTAGTTGTAACTAGAATGTATGTTACAATAGTTTTTAAATGTGCTTTCAGTTCTTATAAATATCCATTTTGTTTGAAACAAGATAGTACACTGGGTTGGGTACCAAGGAGAAGATAGGTTATTATCTATCCTTGATGTATTTTATACATGAAACAGTTGAGAACAATGTATTAAGTTTATAAAAATATGGGCTAAGCCTTCTATTACAGGGATGCACAGAACCAAATGTACCTTATGACCTGGTAGATGATGTGGGACTTTAGCTAGACTCTGAATTACATACAGAATTTGGCCTTACCAGACAACAGGAAATTGAAAGTAGAAGAAATGGCACCAGAAAACACACACTAAAGTAAAACCAGTTTTGAAGTCAAGGAATAGTTAACATAGTTTGTGTGCATGACTAAAGACTTAATACAGAACAGTGGGAGACAGCTATATAAAACTTGTAATACTGCTTAACAGGAGGCAGCCATAAGGATCTCTTCTAGAGAGCTGTGACATGTTGAAAATGGTGGTTTAGGAGCATCAGTCTGGCAGTAATGCGTGTCATGGTGGAATGGATTCAAATGAGGCAGAAGGATTAAGTAGTTAATATTCTAGAGTTCTGAGGAAATCAGTGAATGTCTGCAGTATTAAGTATGAGGCAGAAAGATTAAGTAGTTAATATTCTAGAGTTGTGAGGAAATCAGTGAAAGTCTGTGGTATTAAGTAATGCAGTATCATAAGAGTTTGTATGTCTTTTCTCCTATTAAAGGATATACACCACAAAGTATTATCTCTGAACTTCAGTGAATGTCATACTAAAATTCGTCATGTGGATGCTCATGCAACTTTGAGTGATGGAGTAGTTGTCCAGGTCATGGGTTTGCTATCTAACAGTGGACAGCCAGAGCGGAAGTTTATGCAGACCTTTGTTCTGGCTCCTGAAGTAAGTTTTCATTTCACTTAATTTTCATTTGTATGATTTTGATTATTATTAGTTGCTTGAAGTGTTCCGAGTTTCTTCTTACAGATTTAGATAGGCATGTAGCTAAATTGGAGAGCTTGGTATTGGACCCATTGATAAACATGGGCAATGCCAGGGTTAGGGGCACCAACCTTTCGTGCAGCTGAAAATCGACACATAACTTTTGACTTTTCAAAAACTCTACTAATAGCCTGTCATTGACCAGAAGCCTTACTGATAGTATAAACAGTTGATTAACATATATTTTGTATGTTATATGTATTCTATACTGTAGTCGTATAATAAAGTATGCTAGAGAAAAGAAAATGGTATTACATGAGAGAAAATACATTTACAGTACATTACTGTGTTTATCAAAAAGTCATGTGTAAGTTGGAGTGCAGTTCAAACTTGTGTTGTTTAGGGTTAGCTATAATTTGAGCTTTGTGGGTGTGTATACACTTTGCTATTTATTTTTTGATTGTTTTCACTTTGCCTATTTAGAAGTAAAAGTCATGCTGACACAAATGTATAAATAGATTACTAAGATTATATACATAATACAAAAAGTATCTTGTTTTAAGAAGTTACGTTAAAATGGAAAAGTTTCATTTGTTAATTAGTCCTAGTTCTCTTCTATTGAGTAGCCATTTCTTGAGTTCCAATATTTGAATGGTCTTTTATAAGTGTACTTTATATTAATACAGCATGTTCAATTTTGGAAAATCACATTGAGTCTATATTATATTTCTATAGTTTTTTTTTAAATTATGTAGTGTTAAAATAGATAACGCATATGCCACATAATTTTTATTTAATTTTTTTTTTTAATGTTTTTTCACTTTTTGAGAGACAGAGACCGAGTGTGAGCAGGGCAGGGGGCAGAGAGAGAGGGAGACACAGAATTGGAAGCAGGCTCCAGGCTCTGAGCTGTCAGCACACAGCCTGATGCGGGGCTCGAACTCACGAACTGTGAGATCGTGACCTGAGCTGAAGTTGGACGCTTAACTGACTGAGCCACCCAGGCGCCCCTGCAATTTGTTCTTTTTATGCAGTGCCAAATATATTGGTATTTAGTGGAATATTTGAATTTTGTTTTCCTGTAGGGATCTGTTCCAAATAAGTTTTATGTTCACAATGATATGTTTCGTTATGAAGATGAAGTATTTGGTGATTCTGAACCAGAGCTCGATGAAGGTGAGGTTACTTTCAAGATAGAAAGATTCTATCAGTGCTCTTTAAGGACATGAAAAGTGCAGAACTTACAGAAGTTTGCCTCTATTGTAACTGAGTCAAAACCCCCCTTTCTCCTTTTTGTTAAAAAGAAATAGATGTTCATTATATAAAAATGAGACAGAAAGTGAAAAAAATTTCAGTCTTATTCTCTAAACAAGAGTTTGGTGCCTGTTACAGAATTTTGCTGGATCCTATCCTTAGCAATACTTTTTTTTATAAAAATGCAGTTACGATGGTTCAAAGGTTGCTTTTTTCCACTTAGTGTGTCTTTGTTGGCTGTCAGTTTTTTGGCTATCCCAATTCTTTTTTTGATCCTTCATTTATATGTATCGGTTTGTTTCCTTTTCTTATTATTGTACTATTGATTAGCTGTGACAAAGGAAACAAACAGTTAAGGCTTAAATGTCATTTATTTCTACCTTTCGTTTTCTTACTAATCTTTTAAAATTAATTTTATTTTTTTAATGTTTATTTATTTTGAGAGAGAGTAAGCATGGGGGGGGGGGCAGAGAGAGAGGGAGAGAGAGAATCCCAAGTAGGCTTCACACTGTCATCGCAGAGTCCAATGCGGAGCTAGATCTCAGAAGCCGTGAGATCACGACCTGAGCTGAAATCAAGAGTCAGACACTTAAC